CTGAAGTAGCCTGCAGTGCTGCTTTTAACCACTGCGCCACCTCGGCTCTTATCTAATAAAAATTGATATGTTTTCAGGTTTTTGGCTATTTATGTAATCTGGGACCATCTTTAGAAAGGAATTCCAAACAACCTAAGAGACAGATATCTTATCAGGGTGAGATCAACTTGCAACTTCCATCAACTCAAGAGCTGCACCGACCTTTGCATGTCAAGGGCTGCCTTCCTAAGTGGTCACAAAGAGGCCCTATTAAGGGCTGAAACGGGTTTTAAGTATCTATAAGGCTTAAAAGATCCATTTGGTTTCTGCTCCTTCCTTCTCACGTGGGGAAAGAAAGGGCCGAATGCTTTGCTCCCTCCACTTTGTGAGACGGAGCCTCTGACACTTCTGTCTTGGTCCCAAAAAGCACGAAAGCCACTGCAAGTCAATAGCTGATCTGTACAGGGGCTCCCTGCCAAAAATTCAACCTGGTTTTCTTCTGCCAATCAACCTCGTGAAAAGTTTCAGAACTGAAGAAAGTGTGGGCAGCACAAGGGAGCTCTGGAAGGATGGTGTCATAGTGACGAGAGTGCTGGCCTAGAACCCAAAGAGGCAGTGAGTCCTTAGGCAGGAAGGCCAGATGGGCAACTCTGGGGGAGTCCCCCTCCTCTCTGGGCCCAACCCGCCTCTCTTGGGAATTACACGCAGGAAGCAGAATTACTAGATATGTTCACCACATATCTAGTCGTATTTGAGTTACCAAAATATATAAAAGGAGAATAAACATCTAACAGCAATAATGAGAGAAAGAACAATCACCTCCAATAAGCTCAAAAATCACAAGCTCTCTGAAAATTTTGTGTAAAAAAATAGAAACCCCTGGCACAGGAAAAAAAACTATTGAGAAATTATGAGGCAGAATTTAATTGTATTTTCAGATTATACACCCAGTTCTCTGCAAGAACTGCCGTGGCAATAGCAGAATTATATTGTTCCCATCTTCTAAGATCAAAAATTAAAGTAAGGGAAATAGTCAAAGCTTTTGGTATGTTTCTTTTCTACAATGGGTAATCGTAAAAATCTTTAAATTATCTGGCAAATTTTTAAGATAAAATAATATTGAATTATTAAACTACACAAATGAATCCCAGTTTCAAGGCATGTGTCCCTCCAGATCTCTCAGAGTGAAAAGCCACCGTAGCCCCTTGCTGGGGCGGCCATATACGGCAACCTGGCTGAGAATTCCAGCTTGACTTGGAGGGACATCAGAGCATTGCAGTCATTGGATTCAAAAGACCTCTTTCCTTCTCACCTAATATAGAAATTGGGCTGCTATCTTTTTTTTTTTTTTTAAGAAGAAATGCCAGCCAATAACAGGCAGAAAACCAAAGATGCAGGCTACTAGCTTTATTTCTATTTAACTCAGTTCCTCAGTTCCTCCTCACATATAAGATCACACAGACTGGGCCTCCTCCGAATTCCATCCGCCAGTCAATGTCGACTGGCGACTACACGGAGTAGAG